CAAGCCAAAGAAAGTGAACACTGGTAGCTTATATATTTAAGCATTTTCAGAAGTCAGACTCGTTTCAGAATGGGGCTGTGAAGTCTAAATTAAGGGCTTTTCAGGTAAGGTGGTGTCTCAGTATGCTGATTGTTGTTCATCTGTGTCACGGAGAGAATGAGAAATCTGAGACAGAAAGAAGCATCTCCCCATACTGCGTTGTCTTTATATTGCTATAGTAACTTGTGCAAATGCTAGAAAGACTTTCTGCTGTTGGTTTCTCTCTTTAGCACTGATATTAACGCACACTATGTCAAATAAGGTCTATGTCATGGAGTCAAGCCCTCTGCACGCATTTTCTTTCTTAAAGCAAAGACATGCCAACTATCAACTATCATGAATCCTAGTGCTGGTCTTGCCCTGTCTCATGTGGAGCGCAGACGAAGAAGAAAGAGAAGTAATTCTGTAAATCAACAGCTGACCAAAGGGGTGGGAGGTAACAGAGCAAGAAATTAGCTCTGCCTTTCTCCACTCTTTTCCATTAACTACTCAGAAGTCTTCCAGGTGACCTCCGGAAGCCCAAATGTCTTAAAGGGAATGGAAACTCCTACCTACCAGGGTCAGTCAAAAGACTAATTGGTACGCAATATTATCCATCAGAAAAAAAAAAAAGAAGAAAAAAAGTGGGCTTGCTGCATACAAAATGTAAAACAACTTCACATCAAGTATTTTATGTAACTCAAAAGAGGAACTAATTCCACATGGTGCACTTTAATATTACATTGTTAATTATTAAGGCTTGTGATCCGTATACAAGAGAATACGCTTCAGAAAGTTATTGAGAATTGACAAGATTATAAACGGGTTTAGCTAAACAAATATACTGTTATGTTCACTAAGCCCTATAACAAATAAAGGATAATAAACAGGCACATTCATCTATTTTTCTTCTATCATAGTCACTGAAGACAAACACAGGGGAAAAAAACCAAAACAAACCAAAATGACCTGCTTACATGTTAACAGCCTGGACCATAACGCTGTAGACTGTTCTGTTTTTAAGAAAATCATTGTTAGCTTCTGATTTTATATGGTAATTGTACATCACCAGTTTATGAATAACAACAGTAGAGTTTTTCCCTTCTGATTTCAGAGCCACTTGAGCTATGCAGATTTCAAAAAGCTTATGAATATACAGATAAATACAGAACTGCTCTGAACATCTGTAAGCAAAGTACAAAAATACTTTTCATGGCGAATGAACATCCTGTGCTGCCTAACGCTGGCCAAAATCGGCGTATTTATGGATTAGCCTAATGCACCAAATATAGCTCAAAATCCTTCACCCAGTCCAGAATGCCCTTTCAGGTTTTCATCTGCAAGGTTGTCACCATACAACATAAAAATAACTTTTTAGCACCGTGTTTATAAGCTACAGAATAACTCAATTATCTCTTAGACATCAATTTAACGTGGCAATGCCACACCGTCTGATTGGAGAACCTTCATGTGATCTACCTGGCACCTGGACAGAATGACACTGACTGAATGTCCTGAACAGAAGGAATTTTGTCTGGATGAGGAGCTACGAGATGTGGTTTAGTAGCTTCTGGTAGCAATGGTGATGGGAGGATGGTTGGACCAGATGATTTGCAGGTCGTTTCCAACCTTGTGATTCTATGATTCTATGATTTTATGACACTGAGCTGAACCATGACATTCCTACCTCCCCAACAGAGTTAGATTTGGCTGCTCTTCAAGGTCTATGAAGATAGGGGTTTGCTCTTACAGACTGAAAGAAGATGAAAAGATACTTATGACTAACAGACCAATTGTGAACGTGAAGCAGCGTATCAAATCACAGTCAATACACTCAAGGGTCTTCGTCTCAGTAATTCCTACACCCACAGGCATTTAAATGCAAATACTAGTGCCATGTTACTACAGATTTTTAGATCAATTACATTTAAGGTAGTGTTCTCCACACAGGACTTCAAGCAAGATGTTTGTTAGGATTATTAAGGAACATCCTAAATTCACAAGAAATCAAAAACCTTCCAAAAGCTCTATGAGCCAAAAGATGTAGAAAATATTCCTACCCCTCTTGGTAAGACAGAAAGCGGGAACTTTTTCCTATGCATTCCAAATACGTATATAACATGCTTGGATCAGATACATGATCAAGGACTGGAACTTCATGCATCCAAGAACAAGAAACTGGAAAATCTCAGCAGGCACACAGTTCCCTGCCTCCATACATACATACACTGACAATGTATGGCAATACTCCTAGCTCCAGACAGAAGGATGAACAGTAAATGTACATGCACACATCATAGAAACTAGATGATCATTATGGTCCTCTTCAACCAAGGCCATTCTATGATTCCATGATTCTATATCAATTACAGGTATCCAATTACTTTGAAGAAGTCCAAGGGCAATCACAAAAAGCTGTCAGATGTGACCACAGCGTGGCAGGTGCGATAATCTCACACATCTCAAAAGGCACTAAATCCTTGTAGGGAATCAAATCAAAAAAGCACCATTGGTTGATACGTTTGAAGAGCCCTTAGCTTGGCCATAACGGTAAATCCACGCCATTTTGTCTCAGGTCTTGCTGATGATCTGCTTTTGGAACAAGGGCTACATGCTCAATCCAAAGAATTATTGCTTATATTCCTTCAGAGCAGAGTGCCAGGAAGGTGCTGGATTAAAATAACTTTCCTGCACAGATTCTCCAGCCTGCATGGGTTGAATGCAAAGCTCAAATACTTGCCAAGCAGAAAACTTTTAGTGGCATTAATGTGCTTTCTAGAGCTGGATTTAGAGGCCACAACTGTTCAGTGTTTGCCATGGATATGACTTTGTCAGAACAGACGAAGAAGAAAGTGGCAATCACTTGTGTGCAACTGAAGTCTACTGCTTCATAAGTTGCTCTCCCCAATGAAAACTACGGCAGCCAGAAGCAGCCAGATGGCAATATCTCAGGGGGGCTGGTGAGAGCTCTCTACAGAGACTTCCAAAAGGCATGTTCAAAGATGAAACAAAATCTGCCAGAAAAAAAAAAAATCAGAATAAAATCAGAATAAAATGGAGCTAGAAGAAGCTAAGTAGGAAGAAAAAAATTAGCATGCAGGAATCAGCACATTCTCCAGTTCAGCTCAGCTGCACCACTAGGAACAGAAATATGCAGCACATATGCATCCCATTTATGTTCACAGAGACAAGGCTGTGAAATATGTGCTTATCCTTATGGATATCTCTGAGGAAAAACTCCACCAGTGTCCAGTACCTGGAGGCATACAAACATCCACCACGTGAAAGTGTATAAAAACAAGCACAGGAAAATTAAATACAGCTGTGGTTTTGCAATACCAATCTAACAACGAAACTGTCAGACTTTGCAGATAGTTTTTTTCCATTTCTTTATTCCTGGATTCTTATTGTTAAATTACCATTTTTGTTCACTGCTGATGAAATAACACAAATAAAGTTGCATCAGAAAGCTTTCAAAGCATCTCCAAATCAAATGCAAAGCACACAATACTGTGGACCCATCCCAAAATATAAAACCAGCATATATTGTATAGGATTAAAAGACGTGGTATCTTTTTTCTGCTCCCCTGACTACACCTTGTCCTGTGCTCACATCCTCCCTTGGCCAACAGCCAGCACTCAGGGTTTTGGAGAAAGACTCTACAGACCAACAGGACTAACCTCAGTGCATTGGTGCAATGAGTACATTGGGAAACAGAAACTATTCTGCACATCCCTACTCTGTATATCCCCGTTCTATGCAAACGATCTAATTAACGTCCAGATCATTAGAGAGAGTGACCAAACAATGACAGATAGGCCAGTGACCATATCACAGAATCACAGAATTGTAGGGGCTGGAAGGGACTTCTGCAGATCATCGAATCCAACCCTCCTGCAAAGCAGCCTCCCTACAGCAGGCTATATATGCTTACAAATTCACAGATGATGCAGAGAAATGATCAAAGCAGACAGCACAGGAATATTAGGAATTGAAAGCATTAGGAAGCAACAGCTTGTACAGATAGTAGGACAGGCATCAATGATCCCTCAATAGGTGGTATTTCCCTTTGCTGTTTTGCAGGAATCCTGGGTCTCTCTGCATTAGTTAATACAAAAGCATAGCATCCTTCTTTTTGTTCTAGACATTTTTACATTTCTATGTACTGCTCTGAGTTACCAGCAGAAATTCTCCCTAATCTGTACTTTTTCTTTAGCACTTACAAGGCAATTTCTTACTAGCCCTGTATTGTCTATAAAATACCACTTTAAAACCTCTTTTTTCACATATTTTTTACTTTTTCTATAAAGTTTTTCCTGTTCTGAGTGCCTTGCAGCACTTCTCCATGGTTGCTAGAGTTCCATTATTTGTTCGTATCACTGAATTCTTTACACTCCATCAACCCCACACAATAGATTGTTAGTATGTAAGTACATCAACTTCAGCATTTGGCATAAAAAGGGCTATCAAGAAAATAAAGCAAAAGCAAACCTACAAGTTGTTCTCCATCATAGATCACAGGAAAGCAAGAATTTACTTTAACAGCAACATGAGTCAGTTAGGTGCCAGTGGTTCTGTGTTTTCGATCACAGAAAGAAACTGCAGTAGATTATCAGTGTTGTTGAAGGATTAGTGTGGAGTGCAATGAAAAATAAAGGCAAGGATTTGATTTGGAGATGATAGGATGCTGTGCAATGAACTACATACAAATTTAACACATTTTTAATAATAACATAAATGAGAAACCCAGACTTTCCCAGGAGGCTATATGGAAAGAAAAGGGAGAAACGCTCACTTTCTGCTGTCTATACTCAAATATGGGTAAAATTTAAGTCAAAATTCATACTTTTTTTAAAAGACACATTTGCATAAGCTGCAGAAGAACCACTTCCTGAGAAAATGCATTAAAACACAATAAGCAATGAAGAAAACCTAAAACTTGTATGTTTTTTCCTTTTTTCTCAAAGTATTTCTACCTTACCGATTGGTAGGAGATGACAGTGGGATGAGTGCACCGTGGATGTCCCTGCAGTTCAGGACATAGGGGAGGTAGCAGTGTTCTGTAAATAGCTCTTCAGTGGCTGCAGTCAGGCCTTCACTCTTTATTGTCACAGAATCATACAGTCATAGAATCACCAAGGTTGGAAAAGATCTACAGGATCATCCAGTCCAACCATCCACTGATCACCAACACTTCTCACTAAACCACGTGCCTCAACACAACGTTCAAACGTTCCTTGAACACCTCCAGGGTCTGTGACTCCACCACCTTCCTGGCAGCCCATTCCAGCACCTGACCACCTCAAAATCCTTAAAAATCAAAGAGACAAGCTTACCTGAACAGACTTCTTTGTAGGTAGGATTTGGAGTATACCCTCCTGCGTAACCCACATGAGTGGAGTAGACTCCTTTCTGTCTCCAAAACTTCCTCTCAGCTCCCCAGAAGCAGCCCATACCTGAATATTGCATGAAGTACATAACAATATGTCAAAATCTGCTCAGTGCTGAATCGTTCATCTGCATATTCATTGATATAGCTCATGTAGCCAGTATGTGATGGCCAAGCACTTCCCAAGACTACATGTGGAGTAATTACACTGATAAATCCATTCTGCATCAGTGCACAATGCAAACATAGGTTTATTTTATAATGCTTCTGAATGAATGTTAGCATTACAGAGTACAAGTCCTGTAAGGGTTCAAAGGCTCAAACAAGGAGAATTTTCATGCAAACAAAAATTACTTAAAATGCAATTGCACTGTTTGTACAGCACCATTTTTACTCCAGTTGATTAGCAAGCTGTCAAAACACAATAATTTGTATTAATGGCAAACAGTTACTTAATTTTCTGTTTTCAGGCATGTGCAGTCTTTAAAGATGGCAATAATAATGGATTAAATTATACACAGTACAGGAGGAAAAATGCTTTGATTTAACAAGTTATGCATACACATATTTGATGTTCAGACAAAATTTCAGGATTCATTCACCCACATGGCCAGTTATCAAAAGGCCATTGTCAACAGGTGTAAATTAGCAAAAGCCTCCAGATAGCAGGAATCAAGCATATGGTGTGAAAGCCAAGGGGAAGGAAGAAACAAGCCTAACATTCACAATTCTCTGATGGCTTAAATAGTTCAGAGATGTTAGCTATGATTTGAAGGACTTTATGAAGCTGAAACACGTTGTGTACACTCTAGTAACTCTAGTAGGTTGGATATTAGGAAGAATTTCCTCACAGAAGGAGCAGTGATGCAGTGGCACAGCTGCCCAGGGAGCTGGTGGAGGATGTTCCAGGGTGGGGGGGAGGTGTTCCAGAACCCTGGGGATGCAGCACTGAAGTAGGCATGGTGGGGTGGGCTGGGGCTGGGGTTCTCAGTGGTCTTTTCCAATCTTATGGATTGTATGATTCTAGGATTATTTAACTCATCCCTGATTATGGGTAATGTGCTTTCTCTTTCAATGATAACATATGTTCTAAAACATTAAAGCTAGTAAAAAATCAGCTAGCCACTGATTACACTTAAAAATCAATGACCCATTATGAGTTTTCTATTGATAACAACACAGATACGACAGGTTGAGAAATTACAGAAATGTCCCTTCAAAGTTCAACTAGAACAATTACGATCACTCACAAAGGCATATTCTTTCTTTGAGTCTCAGAGATTAGCTTCAGACTTACTTTGACCAACTCCTATTGTAACAAACAAAAATACAGAAGTGATGACTCAGAATGTTTCAGGTGCTCAAGTGAGTCACGCCAACTGGGAGCCTAGCCTGCTCCTGGAGACCTTGGATAGAGACAGGCATCTCCTGAGTATCATTCAGTTCAAAGAAGATAGAAAGTCATCCTTCTAATTGCATTTTCCATGGACTACAGAGACAGCTATAGCTATTAAATTTGGGTTCTTCAGCTAGGGTTGTTAGAGTTAGGGTGGTATGGTTAGGTCACGGTTGGACTCGATGATCTTTAAGGTCTTTTCCAACCTGAGTGATTCTGTGATTAAACTAGGCTGGTGAGAAAGTACTGAAGGATCAATCTTGAATCTGTCCCCAGATTTTGCAGAAAGAACATTCAAGAATTCTCACTTTCTGCAGTTCTTTATTATTTATCCAATGCTAGAGTTGTACATACCTCTTGACTCTTTCTTCATATTGCTTTATCCACGAGGACATTTTAGAAGCATTCAGAATTAGACTGATGCTACAATCTACACAGATGAACGTTCCTATGTTCACTACACATGCTTTCTAAGAGGAGGATGGGGGTGCCTGGACCCTAGGCAGGTGGAGTGCCAAATATCTCCTCAGTTTTCAGTGGACACGAGATGCCCCTGGTGGAATTGACTGGATCACACTGTGGTGACACTGGAGGTTTACAGGCAAGTAGTCACTAGTCAACGGATCAAGAGTACAAAACATCAGTGAGAGAAAGCCCAACATGGAATTAGATGACTGAATTCTGCCCAAGTTTCTCTGACTGACAGTTTTGTGCCTGAGAGCTACATAAAGCAAGTAAATGCTGATAAGGTCCACTGTCTTGAGAAAAAAAAAAAAAATCATTATTAAAGAAAATCTTATGACTTTCTCTGTGTCATAAAAACCCAGAGCCACTCTTCCTTCCCATGACCAGTAGACCAAACCCCACCAGTTTCAGTAACCTAGAACATAAAAACCTTGAAATCATAGAAACATCCGGATTGGAAAAGACCTCCAAGACCATAGAATCATAGAATGGCCTCGATTGATAAGGACAATAATAATCATCTAGCTTCAACCCCCCCTGCTACAGGCAGGACTCAGAATCATAGAATCATAGAATCACAAGGTTGGAAACGACCTACAAGATCATCTAGTCCAACCATCTCCTCATCACCACTGCCACCACCAGCACTAAACCACATCTCACAGCACGTCATCCAGACGCCTCTTGAACGCTGCCAGGGACGGCGACTCCACCACCTCCCTGGGCAGCCATTCCAGTGCCTGACCACTCTCTCAGAGAAAAAGTTCTTCCTTATGTCCAACCTAAATCTCCTCTGATACAACTTGAGGCCATTACCCCGTGTCCTGCTTGTTGCCTGGGAGAAGAGGCCAAATCCCTCTTCACCACAACCTCCCTTCAGGAAATTGTAGTGAGTGTAGACTTCCAACCAGGAGCCTGGCTTTGAATGCTTCCAGGGATGGAGTATCCATAAGATCATGAAGTCCAACCTGAACACGCGTTGCTGAAATCTCTAAAATGTAGTACTACATGGCCCCATTCTCACAGGAGACTTGGACACACATTACCTTATTGAGACAGCCTGGACATGTCAGCTTTGCTTTGTGGAGAAGAAAATGTTTTGGGGCATTCACGAAATCAGAAATTCTGTACCTTTCTTTTTTTGGCATCCGAGACAAATAACTTTGATTTTATAGGGATGATTCCTTGATGATTTTTTTTGAGTAATTCATTCCACTGCAGACATAGTAACCATCATGGACTTGTTGCTCAGAAGACTGGAGAGACTGCCTCACCATGACAACCTAATTATGGATCTGTGCTCTGAGCACCTGGGACAGCATCCAATATTCAGCTTTGAGTTCATACATGGGCCCAACTTCAAATACAAAGTAGAAGTGTTCATTGCTTTCCTATTTCAAGATGTCTGGAAATAATGATAATTAACCATAGTGTTTGCTGACTCTCCTTGATCAATAATTATTGCTTAGGGTTCTCTCACCAATTGTCCTCTCCCACTTGAACTAATTACCTATATCTTCATCATGGTTTCTTCCACTATTTGTTCTCTGCAACCAGTTTATATATGAAATCATTGTGTTCCCCAGCCTCCCAGAAACAGACATTTTATTCTTTTGGTGAATGATTCTCATGATTTCTCAAGTACTCTGACACCTTGTGCAAACAATAAATCCTCACATCCACAAGAACAGATAAAATTGAAGTCATTGTCACAAGAAAACAACCTGCTAGTAAAGGGACATAATTTACAACAATACAACACTCAATTGCTTTCCGTGGAATTAATACATCCAGCAGCTGATGTTTGTTACTCTGATAAAGTGGGGCCATGTTCTACAGAGAAATTGTCACAAGGAGAGGAATATTAAGAATAAAACCCCTTTCAGTGCTCTTCTTCAGAGCACTGATGGTCTGAAGCCACATTCATAGTGCTAAAATTGGGAAATAACCTCAATTAAAGATGTCATGTACTCCTGTAGTACAAATCACAGAATCACAGAATCACAAAATGACTTGGGTTGGAAAGGACATCAAGGATCATGAAGCCCCAACCCCCCGCCACATGCAGGGCCACCAACCTCCCCATTTCATAGCAGCCCAGGCTGCCCAGGGCCCCATCCAACCTGGCCTTGAACACCTCCAGGGATGGACGGGGCATCACAGCCTCTCTGGGCAGCTGTTCCAGCCCCTCACCACTCTCATGGGGAAGAACTTCGCCCTGACATCCAACCTAAATCTTCCCTCCCTCAACTTAAAACCATTACAAAGCAGTTTACTTCCTCTAATTTCTACTATTCCAGTAAAAAATTGAAGATGTTCCAAAAAATTAGATAAAACTCAGGGGGAAAAAACAATATAAAGCAGCTGAAAAAAGAACATAAAAAGGAAATAAGCCACCCATACTATAACGTGAAGCCAGCAAAGATAAATTTGATTTTAAACTATTCATTGAGTATTTTGCATAATCCTCAGTACTGGTTAAGTGAGCTCAGCTTTAGTGTTAGATAGCAAGCGGCACTCCTAAGGGAAAGAAAAGAAGGGAAATACTGGGGAACATGCTCTTATGCCCAAAAAAAAGCATAATTTGAACATAATGGGGATGGCAGGAGAGTATTTAAGAATTAAAGATATTTGTCACTTTTTAATTGCTAATTTGTAAAACAAAAAGTATTCTTTGAGTGATGGGTTTTGACTGACTCTTAATTGGAATTTCAAAAGGCATTTAAAGACTTTATGCTTTTGAACTTCAAAAACAAACAGATTCAAATGACAGGCTTTAAAGGTTCATTCATCCCTCTAAATAATATTAATCACACAATTCGGGAATAAATGCTAATACTGCTATTCCTTTCTAGCATCCACATCCTTCTTCTCAGAGCATTCCCTTTATATACATATATAAATAGACAATATATATATATATATCTCCTCTGAACAACTCTCTTTGTACACAGCTCAGTGAAGGAATACGTGTTTCCATAGGCAACCCAACCATTAGCACGCTTGTTAAAAAAAGTTTATAAAGCTTAAGTATTCTTATAAAATAATGGCAGCAAAATATTGCTCTGATAAGAGAGATAAGCACCCCATTGTTAAAGATAACATGTAACAATTCTGAAATATTCACAGAGCTAAACTGAGCAAAATGGAACTGCAGGTGTTTACTTTCCGGTGAGATTAATCACTTTACAGATAATGTATTGACA